ATCCCCCTCTCCAAGTCCACTCCCTGCTCAATTTCATGGTCATCCCTGCTTTCATTTCCAGGCTCCCAGTGCTCTCTGCTCCTATCAAAATATCTTTCTGGTTCATTAGTCATATTAGAGTAGCAGCAGCTCTTTATAATTAAAAGGTCATCTCTCTACCAGGGATAATGTCATATCAATAAGGATTAAAATCTTAGCTAAAGAAATAGTGGCTACTATTGAATTTCATTTATAAACCAATAGAAGATACAGCTGACCAGGGGTACTCGGTGGTTTATGAGTTAATGCACAGGTACTCAGTGTTCTACCCTCCCATTATGTGGACTTGCACTGTCCAATAGGGTAGCTACAGGCTGCATGGCACAATTAAAATTTAATTACTTAAAATCACATAAAAATTTAAAACTTAGTTTTTTAGTCACACCGGCCACTTTGAAGGGCTAAGTAACCATGTGTCCACTGGTTCCCATATTGGACAAAACCAGTATTGAGCACATCATGGAACATTCCAGTGGAGAGAGTACATCTATACGGTTAGCTTCGTGACCTGTGCAGAAGCCAGGCATACCCCTTGCCCTAGGGAGGTGTTTCTCAACTTTGGCACTATTGGCATTTTTGAGCTAGATCTTTCTCTGTTGTGGGGTGCTGTCCTGTCGTTGGAGGGTGCTTAGAAGCATACCTGGCTCTGTCCCCTACATGCCAGTAATGAGCGCCCCACCCACCCAATTGTGACCATCAGAAATGTCTCCAGACTCTGCCAAGTGTTCTTTAGGGAACGAAAGTGACCTCGATTGAGAATCTCTACACTAAAGATCACAGACACTTTGGAAGTCAGGGAGGACATTTGTAGGCATGCTTATAAGCAAGATGAGTTCAGACACTTGTAAACTCTCAGAGGGTGGGGACATCACAGGGGCAGGTCAGTCCCATTATAAGTACTCTTAAAACAGAACAGATGAGAAGAATTTCAGAGTGGTGTTTATAGCCAGGAAAGGTATTCTTCCCCTGCCTGGGGGATTCCCTTGATGCCAAATTGTCATGTGTGTCAAAGCCCTAAAGAACTGCTGGGAAGGCTGTAAATCCAAAGCAAGGCAGAGAAAGGACCCAAGGGACAGATTGGGAGGTGTGTTAACTTATTCCAGCAAAGGTGAAGGGTCTGGCCCTGGGCTTCTCTCTGAGATTTCTAGCCTGGTGTGCTAAGCTCCCAGTTCCCAAAGTGGCCATTCACACACGAAATGGCCATTACCGCTCCATCAGCAGCTTCTTGGCTGTAAATTCTAATCCCAGGCGCAGTCTCTCTTCCCAGGACGAACGTCATAAAGACGTTTGCCCTTGCTCGGGTCTTTGACATTGCTGGGCCACATGCGTGAATCCGTCCTAGGGCCCTCTTGAGAGCTTAGCACTCCCCTCTGACTGTGCCCTGCCTTCCTCCTTCCCATGATGTCATTCATGTCCCTGCCCCGCCAAGGAATTCCCAAGCAAGGCACTGGAGGCTGAATACCAAGACTCCAAGGCACTGGGGACTGAATACCAAGGCCTTAAGAATCTTAAACAAGCAAATGTTTCTCATTATTTAAGATCTTAAGGAAACCCAATTCTGAAATATTTATGATCGCAGCCTCCTCTGTGAGTCGTCGGTGACCTCTTTGCTTTTAGGAGGCATCTCGTGGAGAAGGAGCCCCTGGCCTGCTCCCCCCGGGGGCCACTAACTCACAGCAGAGCTCAGTCAACCATTCCAGGGGAAGAGTGGTGACAAGTTGATCCGCCGCACACTCGTAGCTGAAGTGAATGGAGAAGTTGAAGTTTACCATGGAAGGCAAAGCAAAGAGCAGGGCCCGCCCTCGTGGCTTGGAGCCTGAATTTTAGCTTTAGCTCGAATTGTTCTTCTGCTTTCAGGGACAATGCCAATTATCTCAAAAGCACAGAAAGACAATGATTCAGCGATTCTGTCGACAGTGAGAGGCAAGAGAAGCCACCCACAAAATACTTGATGTTCTTGAGCTTGTGGTGGGGATGATTTTCCTGGTCCCTTCTAGGATGACGTCTACTCTCTGTTCATATCCAAGAGCTATCAGAATCAACATGCTCCATTGGAAAGTTCTGTCCATTGGTCTGGCACCATAAGAAGTTGTCCAGAGTGACCGGAACCATCTTAGGGGGTGCAATAGTTCTTTATAAATTGTGCCTGTATATGTGTAATAAGAATTGTAATGCATTCTGCTGTCATATATAAATTTAAAAATGCTACTGAAAAAAAAAAAGAATTAAAAAGCAATCCTTGGATTCAGTGGAGGTGCTCTGGACATGTTGTATGGGAGGATTCATCATATGGGAGGGCCTCCAGCTCATGGCAGGACATTGAGCATCCCCAGTTCCCAGGAAGAAGATGCTAGGGGTGTGTGTCTATGTCCAGTCATGGTCACAACCACCCACCCACTGACACATGCATTTCCCACTGGGTGGGTAGGACATCACAAGATGATTGCCTTAGAAACTACAATGTCAGTAGTCCCATGGGGCATTTAGGCAGTGGGCCTGTGCTTTCTTTATTTTGCTCTCTGATTCTGCAGACGAATCTGTATGGGAGGGTCCTGGCTCCTCATTCCTTCCCTAAGAGTGAGACCAGGCACGGAAGAGGGGAGGCAAGAATGACCAACTGCACAGTTATTTTATCTCCTAAGGTTGTGAATACACCATATGGATTCTCCCAGTGTGAAGCAAGAAGGCTCACAGAGGAAGGGGATTCGCCCTCTTCTGGGCCTGTAGGAGCTTTTCCAGTAGCCCTGAGATGAGAGCTTCCATCCCCAACTAACAACCTCATATAAATCCCTTCCAGACCCACATTCATGCCAATAGACTCTGACTCCCAGATGCCCTCTTGCGCATTCCATTCCCCCTCTCTGTCCCTAGGTCATCCAGGGAGGCTCTGAAGTTGTCAGGTGAGAAGAAAAGGTCCAAAGGACTTTGGATTGATGCAGCATCCAGTCAAGTGCTTTTCGACTCCCTTACTTAGAGGTCTGTGGATCACAAAGATATTGGAAGGGTCCCAAAAGCTGTGGGCATTTTCAAAAATGATTCCAGAACTCCTAGGTTTATTTTAATTGAGATTCACAGTTGTGTTAAAATGTCAAAAACTTTTTCTTTTCTTTTGCCTAAAACTGCATTCACATGATACAGTAACCATTTATTTCATGCTGGCAAAAGGTTCCAATGGACAGATTGTCTCATTGTGTTTCGTTTAGCATTGTTTGACGTGATCATTTTGGAAACATGGAGACTGGGGAGGAACTCAGTGAGGTCCTCCCCAGTCTGAGACCCAGATGCATTAGGTGCCTTGCTGAAGGCAGTGAGTGTCCTAGACCTTTGGTGACCAGACCGGGGCAATCCCAGGTAGTACCTGTCATCCCAGCATAATTATCAACAGTAATCCTAGTCACTCTCAAAAGGGGTTCCAGGTTGGACAAGGAGTTTTATGTCACCCTATCTAAAACCCAAGTCCCCTAACTGCCACTGCGTCACTTTTGCCATTACACAACTCTGCCTCTCTCTCTCTCTCTCTTTTTTGTGGTTTACAAAACGGTTCCTCCTATCTGATTTCATCTCTTATGCTTTGGCAAGTTAGTCATCCTCAAAGTTTGGTGACTGTAAATGACAACTCCAAATCCAGACTGCCTAGACTATGGGCCTTTTGTTCTCGAGAGGAGGAGGCAGGAAGAGAGTGCAGGGGTGGCATCCGTGGGTCACCAGACAAGCCCACAGCCTCCACCACGCCTTAGACAGCCACCCACCACGCTCCTGTGTTCTCAGTGACAAAGGCCAGGAGTGGCAGGGGACAGGGAAGATGTCAAATTCTTATGATTTTTAAGAAATGAATCCACACTGGATTGAAAAGAAAAAACAATGTAAAACAGCACCCATTTGGGCTATGAAAGTCCCTCCCATATATCCAGATGACTCAGTATGGAGTTCATAGACTTAGATAATACTTTGAAATCCTCTGTGAACAATAAAGCTCTCCATAAGAAAGAGCTTCCCATAACAAAGTAAAAAACATTTTAGTGTCTTTGGTAAACATATTAGTGTCTTTGGTAAACCAGTACCACCTTCAAGGATGTCTTACATGCCAAAAACGGGTCCTATGCAAACTATAATCAGGAGGCTGGGGAGAGGAGAACCTAGCTCTGCAGCTGTGCTTGGTCCCTGTATTGTTTTTAACTTGCACCAGAGCTAATACTTTTGTGTCAAAAGACCTCTGACAACAAAGTCCATTGGACACAGGAGAGACTTGTTAAGGTGAAAATTGATTCCATATAGAATTGGGAGATAAAAATAAATCTTTTCTAACAAAGGGAACTTTGAGATGCTGCTTAATTAAAAGGTGTTGTACAGATGAGTCTGTCTAATGAGCACTCTTCCTGACAGCCTTGGAAATATCTATTTGCCAAGCTCATCTAGTTAACAACACAGATTCTGGCGCCAACAAACCTAGCTTTGAGTCAGTTCTACGGCAGGGAGGCTGTGAAGTCTTGGGCAAATTACTAAACCTTTCTTATTCTCAGTTTCCCCAATTATAAAACGAAGGTACTGGTCCTCTCTTTGAGATATTATTGTATTGTCATGAAAATGAAAGTCAATAAATAATACATATGAAGTGTCCAGTACCGTGCCTGGCTCCTACCAGCAGCCATTGTTATTACTTAATCAAACACTTTTGAGATCAGGTGCCAAGTATTGCGCAGAGCAGCAGGGGGGCTTCAGAAGTAAAAAGGACAAAATTTTTGACTTGAGGATCTTATAGTCCAAGGGAAGTAGCAAGACACAGATTAATATTTCTACAGAAATTTCATGCAGCACAGGAAAGAGAGACTATCCTTGGAGAGATGAGATGGACTTCTCTTAGCAATTAGGGTTTATGCTGAGTTTTGAAGAGTGAATAAAAATTTTCCAGGTGGAGAAGGTGAAAGGCATCCTGAGATGACTCAGGTTGAGTGGCCACCTACCTGGATGAGTGGAAAAGATGATATGACTCTGGTTTTCATCCCAGCCTGGTTGCTTTCATCAGCTTTTTCCACTGCTGTGACTAAAAGACCTGACCAGAACGATCACAGAGGAGGAAAAGTTTATGTGAGGGCTCACGGTTTCAGAGAGGTCTCAATCCATAGACAGCAGGCTCCACTCCTCAGGGCTCAAGGGGAGGAAGAGCATCGTGGCAGAAGATTGTGGTGGAGGGAAGCAGCTCACATGATGATCAGGCAGAAAAGAGAGAGACTCCACTTGCCAGATACAAAATAAATACCCCAAAGACAAGCTGCCAATGCCCACTTCCTCCAGCCACACCCTACCCACCTTCAGTTACCACTCAGCTAGTCCCCATCAGGGGATTAGTTCACTGATTGGGTTGAGGCTCTCATAACCCAATCGTTTCTCCTCTAAACCTTCTTGCATTGGCTCACACGTGAGCTTTTGGGGGACTCCTCACATCGGAACCATAACACTGGTTCTTGCAGGACAGATGACTAACTTTAAATAGTAAAACGAAGTTTGCTGTTGGTTAGTTTCATTTTCATTTCCCCTATCAAAACAAGTAGATCTGGGGACACTGATATCAGGGGGCATCTTAAGTAAATAGAGCCCACTTTCCTGAGGTCCAAGCCATTGGACTTTACTCATTTGGGGATTGGTCAAGATCTGCCAAGAATATTGCCCACGATGGGCCAGATCTTCAAATTGTTCTCCAAGTTCCCTCTGATCAGCCTGGGAAGGTTTTTCTGTCAAAAATGTTCCACCCTCAAGTCTTAAAAGTCAACCTGTGTAGATGATTCCTTTGGGAACCTTCTTAACGTTGGATTTTTTTTACCCCGTGGTCTGATCTCATTAAGATTGACTCTTCATAAAAACAATGACCTGGGCATGGAGGGACCTGGGCAGGACAGGTGAGCTTGTCCACAGCACCACTCAAACACCTCAGCTGGCTGGGCCCAGATCTCTGGACACATAGACATGGGGCTTTAGGTTGAGTGAAAGTGGTTGTTTAGGAAATGGATCCAGGAGTGGGGAACTGGGATGAGGATGGTGAAGAAAGAGAAGATGCCCTAGCAAACGTCAGTGCATAGAAGATGACTTGGAGCCAACCCCGTGGGGGAGCGTGGAGTCCATGTAGGTTACACTTCAGGGTCGTCCTGGTGAGTAAGACAGGAGCTGCAGGATTAGACCTCCAAGCCTGTTAGGCTCCCGGGCAGCCTCAGTTCCTTGGCACACCTATTGTCTGAGCATGTCAGCCAAGTGGGCTCATCTTGCCAAGGACCACACGCCAACAAGATACAGAGCTCCTCTCCATGGTGGGCAGCAGTGGTTGATACACAGGCAAGGCCAGTGCAAAAAGAAATGTGGGTGTCATTTTTTTTTTTTTATTTTTCAAAAAAGCAGGTAAAACGTGCCATAGGAAGTCCTAAAATAAAACCTTCTCTTTTTCTTCCACGGTCTCTTGACTTGTCATATAGTTTTTAAAAATTATTGTTATTTGCTATTTAATGCCATCTAAAGGAAAATTAAAATTTTTAATTATTACTATGCAACTGATCTTGCGTCTCCATATTGTGCAGTGTCAGCTTTAAGTGCAGAGAGTGCTGAACCCACATGCTAAGTGGCCAAAACTACACGATTTGCATATCTCACTCTTACCAGAACAGTGGAAACACTACACAAAACCTAATCCCACTGCTTTTACTTCACTTCCTGACACATGCACATTCTACCAACGTTCCATACCACGGGCTGACTGATGAGTGGGGAGGAATCCAAAGGGAAGGAACCACATTTCCCTGCTGTGTCTTCATTTTTCAGGCCAAAATCATGAGTAAGAAAGAACAAGACAGGGTTCCTTGGTCATTTGTGTTTCTTAGAATTTCACCACCTCCTTTGTGTTTGGGAAGCCTCTTGGGGCCGTGGGCATCCCTTCCCTTCGCCAGCTTACCCAGTCATAGACAAAACACTCTTATTATTTTGGATTCACTTAAATTTCCTTGAACTCCCACGTGTCATGCACATGCCAGAATTCTGTGCTCATGGCGAACCCCCCATGCAAGTGGAGTAGCAGGGATGGATAGACAGTGAAATGGAACGTGTGTGCTCTGTTCTTGCACACGTGCTGTTCGTTCATGGGAATTCACTTACCAAATTCAAGTTCAAACAGAAAACTTATAAGAATTTTAACATGGTGGCAGCAGAGCATTGACCCCCATCCCAGGGCCCTCCTGAGCATGGGATCCTACGTGACTGTATAGGAGACATTCCAAGAAGCTGGCCTTGCACACAGGATGGCAGCAGACATGAAAATCCCGGGGCAGATGGAAGGTGCCAGACATTCACACAGGAGCGTGTGGAGAGCTGCAGTGGAGGGCAACCAGTGAGTTTATTAGCAGAGGTGAAGCCCCCAAAGCACTAGCCCAACTGAGAAAGAGGTGATCAGTAGAGAAACAGGGAGAGTAAAATTGAAAGAAGAAGAACCGGGCAACTGGTTAACTGAGGCTTTAAACTGGAAGTATCAGGAGGAATCCACAAAATGAAGACAAGGATCACAGGAAGGGACACAGGTTGAGTGTCTCTTATGCAAAATACTCAGGACCAAGTGCTTCAGATTTTTAATTTTCAAATTTTGGAAAATTTGCACATAAATGATAACTTGGGGGTGAACCCCAAGTGTAAACTGGAAACTCATTTATGTTTCACTTATGCCCTAGACCCATAGCCTGAAGGTAATTTTTAAGCTTTTAATAATTTTGTGCATGAAGCAGAGATTCAGGGTGTGGAATTTTCCACTTGTGGCATCAAGTTGGCACTGAGAAGATTTCGGATTTTGGATTTTTGGGTTTTTAAATAGGGATTCGCAGCCCACACTAGTAAATAGTTAGCAACCACCAAGAGCCATTTGCATTTGCATTTGGTACCAACACGGAACGCTTGCCCTGCAGCATCCCTCCAAGCTACAAGGTACATTCTTGTGAACCTACGTGGCTCCTGAGAGTGTCAGCCCCATTGGACAGCTCAGCCTCCCTGTCTCCTCTCCTTGCTCTACTCTCTTGGCCAAAAGCAAGGCAATTTCTAGGACTGAGGCACCCCCCTCTCTCCCACATGGAGAACTGCACCTTCTCCTTTCCCAGTGCTCTAAGAAAGTTTCTCTCTCTCTCTCTCTCTCTCTCTCTCTCTCTCTCTCTCTGATTTTTCATTGTGCAAACTGGCAGGAAACTGGCCCCGCTGAATGCAGGCCTGGAAGTGGTGAATGGAGCTCCATCAGCTTGCTAGACCCAGGGCCGTGGTTCGTGGGTCGCTTTGCAATGCAGCAGGCGCTGTCCCTAGATGGGTGCTTTGTCCCCTGGAAGCTTCCTTCTATGACCTCCAGCTAAGCCTTCCATGTCAGCTTAGAGCAAGCTACCTCCTCCTGGGCACTGTCGACACTTGGGGCCAGATGATTCTCTGTTGTAACAGGCTGTCCTAGGTCCTGTAGGGTGTTTTGTAATCTCTGGCCCCTGCCCACTAAAGGCCAGTAGCAACCCCTTCAGCCCACTGTGTGGCCATCCAGTGTCTCCAGACATTGCCTAATGTTCCCCGGGGGGACATAGTCACCCTCGGTGACAACCAAGGACAAGGACATGTGTCCCCACTAAGGAATATGTCTGGGATCCCACTTTTGCATTGTGATCTTAGATTGATTTGTTATTTACATTTTATATTAGCCAGTGTCTGCTTTCCTGAAAATGCCTCTTTATAGCCTGGTCTTCCTCAGAGTCCTGCACCCCCAGTTCCTACACATGTTGTTAGTAAGTCCTTGGTGGATAGTAGAGTCACTTGGTGGTAATTCTCTGGGTTCTCTGTCTGCCCAAAGAGAATTATGTCAACCTTTGTAATTACTTCAAAATATATGCATCTTGAGGCCTACAAATATTTTTGTAAGTACACCACCTCTTTCTAACTCCCTAGGGTACCGTGTACTGATATTTAGTAAGAGTTCAGTGTTTGCCACTGTGTTGTATGTCTGTCTTGTCTGATTAAATCCTCAAAAAGAAAAAAAATAACTCCTATAAAATAGCTATCCATTTTTACAGATGGGAAAATGAGACTGAACATTAATAAGGATCTTGCCCAAGACCACCCAGGTGGAAACGGTTTTCTTGCTGCTAATCTAAGGCCCCTTCACTTCAACTTGAAATGAGTGTGTGTAGGAACGGACCTGGAGTGTTTGTGCAAAATGCAGGTTCCCAGGCTGCAGTCTAGAGGTGAGGCAAGCAGCCCCCAAGCAAAAGGGGTTTCAAATAAGCACATTCAGTGATTCTGATTCTGGTGGCCTGTGGTTGTCACTGGGAACACCCTGGGCTCCCACCTGCCGTATTATGCTGTGTTCCCTGATGAGCTGTTGCAAAAAGAGAAGAGTTGAGGGGCAGAGGGTTGGGAGGTGGAAGGCACTCTGGGTATGGAATTAAGAGAAATTGATGCCCTCCTTCCTTCCTAGTCCTAGCAGCCTCAGCTATGTGTCTTACGGTGACAATATGGTGTCCAAAACCCCACTCCTAGTGAGATGCACCTTGATCTTGACTGCACAGAAGCAGGAGAATTTGGAAAGTTGGCAGATTCCCCCAGCTCAGGTCTCAGGTGCCAAGAACCAGGCCACCGCCAAACTGCCTGAGAATACTCACTAAGCACTTTATCAGCTTAGCTCAGTTATACGGCAAGTAGCCTTGGGACAGCGCATTTGTTTGTCCACAGATACTTTCAAAAATCCTTGTCCTTCCTAGAGAATTTTTTCTGGAATCTTGTCTCCTCTGGTTAAGTTTTTAAAAATGTTGAAATCGAATACCTGGTCACCTTAGCTTTAAAACGGAATGACAAATCAAGGGGTATAAGATGCCCTGTTTAGATGTGCTTTCCACTGAAAAACATTCGCAGGGTGTGATGATGATGTTTGGAGGACTCAGTTCCCACTAGAATTCAGCCAACAATCCAGAGACCGTCCCGAGGGTCGGATCTAGTTGAAGGGAAGAGAATGGCTGAGCCGGGTTCGAGTTTCAGACTGGAGTTTCTCCCAGCTCCCTGGAGAGATGTAAAAGAAAAGATGCAGAGAAACCCAAAGCACTGCCCGTTGTGTCTGCTACCTGTTAGCAAGCCATTGTGGGTCTGCCCTACAAACCTCGCTGGCCCTGGCACTTGTGACCAGGTTTCTGTAATGTAACACACCCAGGTTTTCACCAGCACCGTCTACAGGGAATTCAGGGCCTCTGAC